AGCCGAGGGGATGTCTGCTGACACACCGATTGGCTTTGGTCCTATTTATCATGGCTTGTAATCTAGATGATGTCTCAGTGGTAATGGTCTTCTCTGAATGTATTCTTTGTGATCAGCAAGACCAATGTGTGGAGCTCAGGTCTGGGCATTTTGATCCCCTGTTGGGAAAAGAAATTACTCATTGAGAGTCTCACATAATTACTGTAAAAGACTTCTTCTTTCTAGGTTTTGCTGGGACAGCTTAGTTAACTCCTAACGTTGTTATTGGTTTTGACTTTTATTGTATACATCCAGTGAGGGAAGATGAATATAGCTTTTTAACAAAGTTAATTTAAGAAGGGCTTGATTATATCCTCTACTTAAAACAAATTGAGTAGTAGTGAGAAGAGGAAACAGTGGCTTTAAAAATGCAAACTGCATGCATAATCTATTTCCCCAGTTCCAAGGCAAACGCTGTTATCTGTTCCTTGCTGAATAGCACCCCAGCCTGCTTTAGATAACGTCTGATCTAACGATAATATATCTGCGCCGTTTCATTTCCAATTCAACGAGTGAGCAAGGAACAGCGTTTCTTTATAGGACTTAATGACCTTAAAGCCCTTGGTAACTTTGATATTACCATAAAGAAAGAAAATAGCGGGGTTGTTTGAATTTTGGACGCAGTGGATGTTCTCTCTGGCAGCGTGCCACCGCGGCGCTGCCGGTCAAGGCAGGAGTGAAATTGCTGACAGGCCAGGAAGGGACGTCGATAGCTCTGCTGTCGGCCGCATCTCCCGTGGTTTGGGCTTTGTAAGTAGACAATAATTTGACAGCAAGAGGAATATTACCCTTGTTTCTCTGGATTAAGTGTGAAGTGAAATGTAGTGAAGTACTTCCTTCTGTTTTGAGAGGTACCACACACACACACACACACACACACACACAGACACACACACATATGTTGGCTCCAGATTTATTCTTTGGTAGTAACTTAGATGTACTTGTGAAGGCATGGTGTTGAAACAACAATTTATTTGAATACTATTCCATCCAAACAGGAAGATTCCTCACCTACAAAACTCTCAAAAGCTTGTACTTTAAACAGTAATCTGCTCTGTAAGTTGATGTAATTTCCATTCTGCATGTGTTAGACAGAGGGAGCTTCTGGATATTGTCTTTAAAATACTATTCTGTCATAATGAGGCTTTTGCATAGACCTGAAAGCCAGAGCCCTTTCTAGCGAATACAGGAACGGTTTGGAGTAAGTTCAGGCTTTGTAAGATTTGCTTTTCACGAACAGAGCTTTGGCTCAGTCCTGGAGCAGAGAGCTGGCACCTCGAGTCACCAAACCTCAGCAAAAGCTCAAACTTGAGCAGTTCTATACCCAACACACACTCTTTAAACTTGAAGTTTTAGCTGCAATTTCCCAAGCATTGTTGAAGATGTTTGACCGTATGTTACAAAGAAATGAAAATAGCAGAAAACTCACTGTTTGTCTTGGAAGAAATAATTAGAGCACATTAGTTCAATTACCCCAGCACTTTGAGTGACTTGTGTATTTTTTGCTGTAATTATAGTGTCATTAAAGCTGCACATCCTGTAGAAAAATAAATACAGTGCCTTACTGAAGCAGCTCTTCAGGCAGTTCTTGTGGAGCTGCTGCATTGGAGAGCAGTGTGATTTGATCAGTGTAGCTTCTAACCAGTACTGAGGTTATGTTGCTGTAACGACTCACAGTCTGTGTGCAGGGCTGCAAAGGGCTTGTTCTAAGAAAGTGGAGCAGTAATGGATCCACGCTGGGCACACAGGTTAGAGCGTATCCTTGGTGGAGCAACTAGGAAGCATAAATTCCCCTGAACTCAAAGATTTTTAATCTATTTTTTCTCTTAAGCTTACTTGGTTGTCTTTGCAGGTACTTTGTGGCAATGACTGAGGCTTCATTTAACAAAATGAAATATTCCTTTAAGTTACTTGAGGACTGGGGTTAAGTGGTGAATCAGTTCTCCATCCAGCTCTTTCACGCTGCCACCCCGGAGGCCTCAGGAGCTGTTCTGGCAAGTCACAGTCTCTCCTCCCAATAGCTAGGAGAGATTTGGTGCCAGAGCATCCTAAAAAAGTCCGTGGCAATCCTTGCCTGGTGCTAGCTGTTTCCTTTTATCCTCCAAAACTCAAGAACCTCTATGTTTCCCATCCTGTACATTTTTGCCTCTAATATGGGAAAGAAAAGTAAGTCCCACCATCCTTGAAAGGCTACTATCCTCTGCTAGGAGTCTCTTCTGCGCACAAGGAAGCCAAACGTGATCAGGCTGAGGTCAGCTAATGCCCAGGCAGTGGCACAGGTTGGTGGTCCCTCCTTAACTGTCAGGCCTGTTCCCCATCCTGACCAAAAACCAGCTGGTTTAACATGTTTGCTTCTAGATAAACCCACCCTGGTCATTTCATACTGGTATCACATCATCCTGGGGTTTCTACAGTGACACAGCTCCATGACGTATTTTTTCATTCCAACAATTATTTTTTTTGACAGCTAGAGTTATATCGACAGGTCCAATACTTGACACCTCTATTTTACCTCCTTATGGTCTTTTGGGTATGAGTTTTGCTGTAATTATTTTCAACTGCCACTACAAGCTTTCAGGTACTGGAAGAACCGAATGATGCACCTTGGAACACATCATGGAGCCCTTAGAAAATGTGCAAATTGGGCTTTATCTCTTATTTTCCCATACAATAATTAACCAGAGCTGGAAATCGGTATTTTAGCACCTCGTTTGCCAATTCTCTTTCCAGCTACAGGCTGGCTGACACTGCTGAGTTTCTGTGTGTGGCAATCATAGTGAACTGCTGTAAAAAGCACATCTGGATCAGATGTATTCGTGTATAAACCAATGCTGCTCTTCCCTATGAAAATACAAGCCCTTATGTTTATTTTCAGAGGACTTGGTTTCATAAATTCTCCTGTAATTTTTCATCTGCTTGGTTTTTGTTTGGTTTCTTTTGGTCTGTTTCCAATGTCAGCAGTTTGTAGGGGGCCACCCAGGAAAGTGAGATCGTTTCTTGCCCGTTTCACACATCGCAGTAGCAGAAAATGGGCAGGACAGTGGCTCGGTGCTAACACAGCAGCTCGCGATCACCCAGCCACGCCTGTTAGTGGCATGTAGAATTCAATTTACTGTGCGCAGTAATTTCCTTTGTCTATGTGTTTTTAGTGTTCATAGAATCATAGAACAATTCAGGTTGGAAAAGATCCTTGGGATCATCAAGTCCAACCACTGACCCTACACTACAAGGTCACCCCTACACCATCTCACCCAACACCACATCTAAGCGACACTTGAACACATCCAGGGATGGCGACTCAGCCACCTCCCTAGGCAGTCTGTTCCAGGGTCTGACCACTCTTTCATTCCACTGTCTGACCAATCTTTCCATGAAGAATTTCTTCCTAATGTCCAGCCTAAACTTGCCCTGTTGCAGCTTGAAACCCTTCCCCCTGGTTCTGTCCCTAATTCCCTGTGAGAAGAGACCAGCACCAACCTCTTTACAATGTCCTTTCAGGTAATTGTAGAGCATGATGAGGTCCCCCCCTCAGCCTCCTCTTCGTCAAACTGAACAGACCCAGCTCCCTCAATCGCTCCTCATAAGGTCTCCTGTTCATGTGGTTTTAATGCAATAAGCACTTTAGGCCAGGAACAGGAATTTATGGACAATTCCTTTTTTAACTACTTCTTCTTTGCTTCTACACCAGGTGTTGGGAGCTCTTTTATTCCTCTGTGACCGCCACCTTTATGTCCTGTGTCTTGCCATTCATTTCTTTGTTCGCTCCTGACCAAACACCTCCCATCTCTTTCAGAAGCAGAAAAAACATATCAATAGAGAAACAGTGGTTGAGGTTATTTTTCCGTTCAGGTATGATGGAGTTCAGTCTCTTTAGAATATATGCATGAGCTAATGAGTTATTACCTTATATTTAATTACCCTGATGCTGTACATGATTTTATAGTATTGTAATCGGATCATTTTTAAGCTTTCAGACAGGAGCAAATAGCTGTGGCTTCTTCAAAGATTTGGAGTATGAGCTGGCTGCAGCTGGGTGCACATTTTATCCATATTTGAGGAATCAGAAAGGAAAAAGGGTGGTTGCGATTTTTTAACAGCTGTTAACAGCTAGGTCTTTGCAACACACGTGTAGAGACCAGCCGGAACACGACACGAGCTGGCCTGCCTCGCAAAGCACGTACATTCCAAGCAAAGTGGACAAGAAATGAACACGTTTGGGTTTTATCAAACAAAAATGGTCTTTATTTATACAGTAGCTCTGCCGTGAGCCTGCCCCTACCCCCAGGAATTGTTATGCCCACAGAGGGGCTGCCCTGGGATTTGGACCACCTGAAGGAAGCACATTCTAAGTCTGCTTTGGCTGAATCCAACTCCTACTTCTTTCTCCCTGTGTGCCATTTTTATTCAAACACAGTCCGCTGGCGAGACTGAAATAGAGCTTTTATGGCAAATACGCTTAAAGGAGCAAAAGTGACCCTGGTGCTCTCAGCCCTAATTGTCCATAATTGCACAACAAACGAGAAAATGGAACAGTGTAATAAGATTCTGGAGTAACACTCGGTGATTTCTGCACTTTGCACATTTGCCATCTTCAGATACTGTATTTCTTCTAAGAGTAAAGAGAAATAATTGCCTAAATGCAGGTCTGTGCTGGCTAAGGACTGTATTGTAGAAAGCTGTAAAAGAAGATAACTGGAAAAATAAAGCAATGGAAACAGCACTTCTATTCTGGTAAAGCTTCAAGTCTACTGGAGTAGGGCTATTTATATGGCATATATCTAATGGATTAAAGTCTCCTCTTCAAAACCTGTGTGCTTTATCTTGCAGCGGCACACCTCTCGATAGGACTTTTAAAGCCTTTAAAAATGCAGATGCGGGGTTATCGCGTTGCTCCCAGTCTTGCCCAATTTGCCAAGGTATTGTCCCTCGCCTTTCAGAAAGATTGGAAGTGCTCCCCGACATCGGTCATTAGTGCTTCGGTCTCTTCTCAAAAGTCCTGCAGAGAAGAGGAAGAACGAATCATTTACACGGGGATGTGTCACACCTTGGGGACACTTTGCATCAAATATTTTTACAGTGCTCCCTCCAGGTTTTCCTCACCTTTCTTCTTTCTAGTGCCCCTCGTAGGGCTGACAGGGATACCTACTGCTTTTAGTGTCGCTTGTTCCTTAATTGAAGAACAAATAAAAGAAGGTTCTCTACTTCAGAGGAGAAATTTCCTCAGCTTTGCCTTGCTACATTAATTTTTTTTTAAGCTCTTCTGAAGAAACCAATCCAACTTGACTAACGATGGTCACTCCTCCTTCAGAGGGAAGACCCTGTTTCCTGGAACTCAGTGTCTGAGGAGATTTCCAGGAATGTGCTGCATATAAGATGCACACGGTTTCCCAGACTCTACACATTGATGTATGACACCATACTCCAGGAGTAACTGCAACCACTTTGCTCTCCTTATCAGAATTTCCACTAACACTTCCAGACTTATGACTCTCCTGACAAATCTTCTCTTAGTTACAGCAATTTTTATTTTTTTTAAAAAAACACATGAGATTACAAGCTTTTAATACCAACTCTCACTTGAACAGCACTAGTTCTTCATTTTTCACCATGCAAAATTGAATACTTTCTTCATTAGGAGTACTATTTAAATTTTAAAGGTCATCTTTATCCTCTTTAAGGGCAAAGAACAAAGTTCTGGGCTTGTTTAGAATCAAAACCCCCAAATGTTGCAAAAAGACCTGGACAAAAACTTTCAAGTAAAAAAGAGGGAGTTCTGCCACTAGAGTTTTGCATGGAAAAAATGGCTGGGTTTGTGCATGTCCAAGCCAATCCAGCAGATTTATTTTATTTTTTTTAAAATATTATTAAGACACACAAAACCTTCTTTGTTCATTGACAGGTGGTGCAGTATCTGCAAAAGCTTTAACTCCTGCTGTGGAGTGAGATGGGATCTTGCATCCACGTGCATGTCTGGGCTGAGGAACACTGACTTCTTTGCATGTACTGACTAGCTTCTTTCAAAATAACTGTCTTAGAAAAAAAATGGTGCAAATTGGAAAGTCCCTCCACTACCTAATCTTATTATTGCTAATACCAGCCAAGTATAACAGACCCTCTGAGTTTTGTGATCTAAATATATTGAAAAGCAAATACGAAGAAATGGCAACAAAAATATTTGTAATAGCTTTCATTTCTCTAATGAGTTTCATGGATCTTTATGCATTCCTGGCATGCATTAATTGACCTATCCATTATTAATACTAGGCTAAAGATTAAGGAATAGCAGATAGTAGGAACAGTAGATTCAATTATGGACAAAAATATCTTAAAGAAAGAACACACTGGAGAAGCTCAGCACCCAATAACTAATCACTATTCAGTTAATTTGCAGGTTCATGGAAGGCAGAATGACCTGGAAAATATATGAGCAGCTCCTCTGGGGACCTGCACTGCTCATCAGCCCTGTGATGCAACAGGTGTATTTTTTTAATCACTTTTAGGAAAACATTTAAGTCATTTTAGCTAAACTTCACTTTTTGGTTGAAGGTGACTAAAACATTGTATGTTTAATTCCAGGACACTGTAAAGATGAATAATTACTTACTTAATGCCCACCAGTGTGATTACTACACAGTAAGTCATTCAAAAAATTGTGTTTTCTCTCTTCTTCACAGTGCTGTTCATACAGCAGCAGTGTGTGCGGGTGAAGCCCTTTTAAAAACTTGCATTTAATAGCAGTTCTCAGCAATGTAACATCTGCCTAACTCGTAAAAAAGTCCTTCGCTGCCACCTAAGAACGTACAATAACATGACCTGTTAGGGTGAATTAAAAGGTGAATTAATACCTTTAATTTGAAGCCTTTCTACTGACTCTTTTAATCTCCAAATCGAATACATAATGTCTTTGTAAGGAATGCTGGAATGCAGAAAGACAGAACACATTTAGTCACATTGTCTTCACAGAAAATAGGAAAAGTTTTGTCAGGAAAGAGCAGGCATCAAAAAATCATTAATCAGAAGTTCGTACTTGGCCTGACTGGCCCCTTTGTCTCAGCTACTGTCAAGCAAATCATAAATCCAAAATTTTGAAGTTTCTCTTAAAAGCATTAGGAAGCTACTCCTGCAGTAAGAACTCCTACCTAATCTGTCTAGGAAAAAAATACGATTTCATTCTGAAAAAACCCTGTAGAGTGAGAGCAACCCATATTTTTTTCTACATAGGATGAAGATATTGGCTTTAGGGGAAAGTTCAAACTTTTACCAGCTCCTTTAGAACATATCAACCTGCACAACTGAGGTGAATACACCCTTGCTTGGCAAACATCTGCTAATACAACTTTTCACAGGTAAAATGAACTGAAATTTAAAATCTAGTTTTGCACAATTGCATATAAATATCAGTCCTCAGAGAAGCTGTGTGTATAATGGCACTGGAGCTTTGTGGGTAGTTTTTCTTTTTGGTTTCCTCCCAAGTCTCCTTTAAATTTAACAGAATAGGCTTAGGAAGATGACTATGGGAGAGCAGTTGAGTGGCAAAGAGTATTCTTTAAAAAATTCTAACATGAGAAATACAAAAGGTGAGGAAATTGAGGAAAAAATTTGTTGTGTCTTCCATCGCCGGAAAAACTCGGTGGGACTCACTGTGGCTTTGGATGACGCTCTGTCTGCAGAACAGCAGCTTTATTGGGATGACGGGATTTGCACGTACGGGGCTTCTTGCCTTTGTGAAATCCTGTCTTGCTGTGAGGGTGATCGCAGGCTGCAGCAGGTTGCCCAGAGAGACTGTGGAGCCTCCAGCCTTGGAGATACTCAAAGCCCAAATGAAAACAGAACAGACCGAAACCCAAGGATGTGTGATGGGGAGAGCTGAAATGAATGACTGCAGTCCTTGAACGGCAAGCAGAGCTCCACAGCTTACTTAGGGGCTTTTCTGTCTTCGTTTTTTAAACAAAAACACAGTTCTCAAAGTGGGAAGCCCAACCTGCAAGAAGCAGCCTCGCTCACCTGTCACTTTGGGAACAAGTGCTGGTGCTTGCTTCTGCCTTAGAAGTCCTCATCGCAGGGTGGGTTGTTTGAGGAGGAGCACGAGGAGCGGATGGGAATGATGGACTTTGGCCAAAGCAATCAGTTTTCTGGAAGATGTATCTGACCATGCCTTCAGAGACAAAAGTGAAACTGAGCCTTCGCATCAACGTTACAGTAAAATGATTTTTCCCAATTTGAACTGCATAATGCTGTGATTTATAGAATTAATATATTGTGCAAATGTGCCCTGGACCTGAGGCAACACAGATAACAAAGATTTGTCCTCAAACCTATGGGAACCATAACCACAGATTACGGGGGAAGCTTTAACTAATTTCCCCAACGTTACTAAATTTAAATCATCTTCGGATAAGAGATACTTAAACGTCCTTTACCCTTGCCATCCAGAGTGTATTGCCCTTGTAATAACAATAAGCTGTCAGCTGAGATTGCTGCAAGTACTACAGAAAACGGTGTGATTTTGCTTAATGATGGGCAGGGAAGATTGCAAAGTGCTATTAGTGGGCTTTGAGGCGCTTCACAGACGCCGCTGCCTGTTAGCATTGGAATTCAGAAACGATGGCTGTGCTCACGGAGCCTCATGCTAAATGAAATGAGCTTAGATGACAAGGTGCATGTCCCCAGAATGTCTGTGATCTGTTTTTAATAGTGCAGAAAGGCAAGAACCTACAACACCCATGATTATCAGCACTGCTTTGCATTTAGTGCTGAATAATAGGACCGATAAAACATAAAACAGCGATTAAAAAAGAAGCATCGACATTTATCATGGACACGTGTACCTGGACAGGGAATAGAAGTGGATGTGGGAGATGACTCCTGTGCCTTCTGCAGTGAGAAACACTTTTCACTTTCTGGTCTTCACACTCTTGACCTCCCTAATGCTGTTTCTTTGCCTTCTTTTGTATCTTACCTCCAACACGTTCTTATTCTGTCCTCATTTAAATAGCACAGAGTCCTAGAATGAAACTATTTTACATGTAAAAGCATGCCCCCTCTGTAAATATAGAACTTTATTTATGAATAGGTAGACATACCAGATTTGTCTATAGTATACGAACGTGATTCTTGAACCAAAATTTCGATAAAGTGTTAAATAAGATTAGCGAATAATTTAATCTTTCTTTTTAACAGATGCATATGAAGATGGTTTATATCTGCTAACATCATTAACTGCTAATCAGGTAATGATAATTATATTTTTAACTATAGGTATTCTAATTTGGGACTTCATAATGCCTAATATCCCACCCTAACATTAAGTTGTATTCACAACTGAAGCAACTGCAAGTAATACAATTAAACCCTGTTAAGAGCAAATTTAAAAAGGATTCTGAAGTTACCAATTACAGTGTAGTGTTAAATCAGGTGTACATTTATGGCACTGCAATTTCTGATATAATTCTGAAAGCACCGTTTTCTTTCATAAATGGCTTCTATAAAGTGAAAGCACGTATCAGCGCAGAACATCTGGAGCACGTGGATGGGTCAGAACAGCCACACAAAGAAAAACAGCCCCAGCTTCGGGGGGAGATGGACGTTGCAGAGAGGAAACCTCAAGGGCAGGAGGCTTTGACCCTGCCTTCAGCTAGAGAGAAATAGCTCCACCCAGCAAAGAATTTACGCTTCTTCTCAGCAACGGGCACCTAAAATTGCTCCTGGTCCATTTTGCAAGTTCAGAGTTCTCCTTGCTGCTCTCTGCCTTGTAGCTCAAGCTATGTTGCTGCTCCGACAACAAAGAAAAGGTTGCAGGGTCAGAAGCAAGGCATCTCTGTCCACAGTGACTTGCCCGTAGTCACTGAATGTAATTATTGTTCACAACCTTGGTTCCTGTAGGAAGCAGCACAAGACAGTTATTGGCAAGCACAAAATAAATCCTCTAACACGGCAAAATGAGGAGAACAGGTCCTGCCCCTCAGGTGCCTTCCCAGGTGAGGAAGTCGATGAACAGGGGCATTTATTTAAGTGCTGACATTCCTAGGATGTCCAAATTCAATTTTTATCATAACCAGTTGAATATCTGGAACTGAATTAGATTGTAATTATATGGACTTCTGGTTTAAAAGAAATACTTTTTCTGTTGTAATAGAAAACACACTTTATGTCATTATTTTTTCCAGGGTGTTGGAATGCCCTCTAATTTTACCCGGACTGTTCTCTCTTCTCATTTAATTCTGTCTTTGTCAAATAGTTGGATGTTAATTGCTAAGGAAGAGAAGCTTGTTCTGATAATATTCAGTATCTGCAGTTGCAAAGAGATTATAAATAAATGCACCTTGTCCTGCTCTTAGAAAAAGTTGATCAGGAAAAAACCAAACTAATTAAAGAGTCTTGAATTGACCAGGAAATGAGGAATACTCACACTAAAAGCAATACCCATTAAGCACCAGATATACAGAATTATATCACAGCACATTTGTATTTCAGGTACGGTCAGGGGTCTGTGACAACGTGTAGAGTTCAGATCCAACAACTGCCTTTTTTTGGAATTCTTCAATAACACAACCCAAGAAGCACAAGCCTGGGAAAGGCTGGGAGCTTGCGTTCCAGCATCCCCAGCGAGGTGACAGCTCTGCAAACGTCATCCGTGCCAGGTGAGCAGCTGGAGGGCATTTTTCAGAGTCCTGCCCCTGAAATAATCAAAGGGTGACTGACCTTAAACAGATTCCAACTCAAAAAAAACCCCACAACCCTATGGAAACAATAATGAAATTATCAGTGTTTCCAGGATGTATTTTGGGTCAGAACTCAGGTCTCCAGGGTTAGTTTCTGCAGGATCCCACCTAGTTGGGAAGACCAGGGGATGGAGGCTCTCCTTGACCTTTCTTTTGTTGTTAATATATTTATAGAAACTTTTTCTTATTATCCTTAACCATAGAGGCTAGATGAACTTCAAGCTGGGCTTTGGAGCTTCTAATTTTTTTCCTACATAGCCTCACAGCATTTTTGTAGTCATCGTGAGTTGCCTGCCCTTTTTTCTAAAGGCCATAAATCTTCTTTACCTCCCTAAGCTCCCTGTTAAGCCACGCAGGTCGTCTACGCCTCCAGCTGGATTTACGGCTAACGGGGATGACCCGCTCCTGCACCTTCAAGACCTCTTTCTTAAAGAGCGTCCAACCTTCCTGAACCATCCCTGGACGTGTTTAAAAAATGGTTGGATATGGCACTTCAGGGGATGATTTAGTGTTAGGGTGGCGCAAAGTTGTAGGTTGGACTTGATGACCTTAAAGGTCCTTTCCAACTTTTATGATTCTATGACAGCAGCTAGAGATTTCAGTGATAGCTTTGTAACAGCACACACTACATAAATAGTGGATTTTACAAATATTTCCAGTTCTCACGGACTAAATGGACGCTCACATTTTTTGCCTGTTGGAAGACGTCACTGTGTGGGAGGCTGTGGAAGACGCGGTGGAAGGGTACAAGCAGCGAGTTTTGCAACACAAGCTCTCCTCCTTTCGCTTCGACCTTCCTCCACAAAACCACTGCGTTTTGAAAGCAGCTCTTTCACCACTGAAAAGAAGCACCCGCTTCAGCTGGCTTACAGGAAACCTGCCACTAATTGGTGCTGGAAGGAAATTATAAAG